GCTGCTGCTCCGCTCGCTGCTGCGCTATGCTGCGCTCCTGCTTCAGCCCCTGCACTAAGTTTAGCGCATCAAAACAGTGCACTAGCACTGACCATGCCGTGCCGGTAGAGTTCCAGTAGGCCGATCCCTCAACTGAGGCGGATACCGGTACTTATACCGGTGGGCAATGGTCTGGCCTCAATGCTGCGAGGCCAGGCCAGACCCTGGACTGTCCAGATGGACGGTTCAGCCTCAATCGGCGGGCGGCAGCTTCAAGAGCGCCGCCAGGCCCAAACGAAGTGTCGTTTGGGCCTACCCGATGGGATTAGTCCAAAATCAGGCCTTTAGGGCCTGTAACCCCAAAGGTCGGGCCTTTAGGCCCTGGTGTGTCCCTCCGGCCCTAAGTCGGGTCCGGTAGGACCCGTCTGAGTCGAAGATGTAACAGTGACCGACACTCACCTTGCGACGGGGAGCGAAAACGAAGAGGACAGGAGGTTGGCCTTCACTGCGCGTCAAGAAAAATAGCGGTGGCGCGTCAACAACAATGGCGTTCGACATTGAATTCAAATTTCCAACGCCTCACTGCCACAGGGGCAGCACAGGAAGATGGGTGCCTCTTACGAGGGCATATGGCGCAGAGCCTGATGGAATGGGACCGCCAGTTGAGGGAGGGCGTCCTGGAAAGTTGCGCCCACTACCGACATGGGCCTGCCGAAAAGTATTTTTTATGCCCAGGGGCGTGACAGGGTAAATCGGCTGTTGGAGGGGCGGGATGCAAATTAATGGAAAATACAGGGGCGCCAGACAAATTTTCCCAATAAATAAATAAATAAAGGAATGCTGCCTCAAATCGAAACCTGCGGCCCTAAGGCCGGCCGCGGGCCTCCAGGGCGCGCGTCTGAGGGAAGTGCGGCCTGGGGGCCCCCAGCAACCATAGGGCCCCCAAAATGGGGCCCGTGAACAGGCTCAGCATGTAACAGTCCGCCATCGCCCAAGTACATCAAGAGGAGCCGTGAGTTGCTCCACCTCTTTCTTCAGTTGGAAGTGGACCGGCTGCTGGAGTGAGGACTTGGATGAAGCAGTGCCCAGCGACAGCTAGGAGGAAGAAGAAGGGGAGCAAGGAGGAACGAGCAGGAGGAGAGTGGAGAGGCAGTTAACGAAGGCCCTAATTTCACACAACTTGTCATGCCATTCATAACAAAATCCAAGGGTCATTTTAACCAAACTTGCCACCAAGTCATAGAGTGATACCATAGTGGGTGAGGCGGTTAACAAAGGCCCTAATTTTCAGACAACGTGTCATGCCATTTATAACAAAATCCAAGGGTGAAGGAGAAGGCTAACCTTGGCTATGGTGGACTGCATCTCTCCATCTCCTTGGTTGGTGCTGCACCTGGAAGGCCCCTGGTCAGGGTAACGAAGTGAGGAAGCTCCAAAGGGTGATGTAGGTTGGGATGAAGCAGTGCCCAGCGGCAGCTAGAAGGAAGAAGAAGGGGAACAAGGAGGAAGGAGGAGAAGGAGGAGAGTGAAGGAGAAGGCTTACAGTGGTTGTGGTGGATCGCAAGAAGCTCCAAAGGGTGATGTAGGCTAGGCGGTGGAAGTGGCAGGACTAGGAAAGCTTTGCTTTTTCCTTGAACATCCGGGCTAGGCCTATGCTCAACCAAGTAATGATAGAAGGTGTAGCAGGCCAGGACCAACTTCTTGTGACGCCGACAGTGAGGGGAAGATTCAGACGTCGTGAACGTGTCAAAGTCTGTTTCGTAGAACCCTACAGTGGAAAGAAGGGGGAAGACTTTGATAACTGGGAAGCTAACGTCAAGTCCTACATGCATTTGCAGGATGTAGCTCCCGAGGACCACGTTTTGATAGCCTTTCAGGCTTTGAGAGACGAAGCGATCAGCTTTGCAAGGTCGCTCGCACGCGCTGGCCACTGCAAAAACGACATGGTCCAATACTCTGTCGTCACTCACCTTAGTGATTTTCTTGCTGCACTGCGAGAACGATTCACAGACTTCACTAGTGGAATAAGGGTGTCTGATAAACTCCAGACCATTCATACGCGGCAATGGAGGAGTGTACATGCCCCGAAAGCCGTTATGGATGAGCTTATCGCCGTGCCGGGACATGGAGTGACTGAGGTGCAGCTTGTCCAACTCTTCTACCACACGCTGCCCGAGCAGTTGCAAGGGCACTTCTTTGACAAAAAACAACAGCCCGGGATGACCTACGATCTCCTTTGTAGGGAAGTTGTTGCCTTCGCTGCCCAAGCTATGACAGTTACCACTTTCTGGCATAAGGATCTAGCCAAGGGCAAAAAGTGGAAAGGACTCACCATCTCAGGCCAAGTCAAGGTCCCGAGTCTAACCCCGCCCCATTTCGAGTCAATCATCTCCCAGAAGGCGTGCGTGGCACCTAGGGCATGCCGAAGGGCCTTAGGCGTAGACCAAAACGTTTGGCAGGACCGCATCGACAAATATCCATGCGTGTTTTGCGGTGATTCCGGGCATATCATCAATTCTGCCCAAAGTACAGAAATCATGCTGCATCTGGGCAAAAGGCAACCGCCGGTAGGGGTAACAACTGCCCCTACCCCGGGAGCACGTGGAGATGAGAGCGCGCGCAAGATAGAAACTCCCACTACACGCGGCTCTATGGTCAAGGATGGGAAGGGGCAGGTCATATTAGCAGCCGAGTGTGCAAAATGGTAACCATGAGAAGCTTGGAGAGTGAAGCACCACCAGCCGAATGTGCAAAATGTTAAGTGTATCTTGTCATATGTGGTGCCAAGATATGCAGGCATTTCTCACTTTTGGTGAGTGGTGGAGCGATTATGGCCCATACCATGAGAAGCTTGGAGAGTGAAGACAATGTAGAGTAGATTGGGGTTCATGGACACTGCAGTAGTTGTGTCTCTGGGTTAAATCGAAAAGACTGCCTGGTGACAGTAACATGGTCTCCTAATCCTCATTAGTTTGGTTCCATGACGGAGGATGTGCATTGTGCAGGGCTTTTTCTGAATTCTTATAAACTTGAACATTTTATTATACTTGCTGGGGCCACAAAACTGGACTGCTGCCCACCATAAAAGGGTCTTCACCCAGCTAGCGGAACAGATGCAGATCCCAGGGCTCTAGACCTAACCCGTACCCCCTGGACAGCGACCAGTTGACCCTGTGTGCCTCGAACCCGCGACCTGTCCCTAAAATCGTAGGTTTATGTTGTGTGTGTTAGTTGGGCCGTAGGGACTCGAACCGTAGACTATAGGATTAGAAGTTCTGACGGTCAGTCTAGCAGTCTAGCCTAGGACCTTCCGGAAGCCGCTACTTCACTCTTCGGAGCTGTAGGAGTCAGTAGGCCGTAGCTGAGTCAGCGAGGGGGAGCCTGGTGAAACGGTTTTCACCTCTTTGCAGTAACAGACGCAGATCCCAGCGCTCGATCCCTAGACCTCACCCTACCCATGTACAGTATCTGTGTAACCCCCGAGAGTTGAGCCTGTGACCTGTGTATTCGTAGACAGTTGGTAGGTCTGTCGTAGGTGCATAGGCAGCAAGGGTTCGATCTGTCGATCTATAGAGTAGAAGTCTTAGCGAATTCCAGAAGTCTAGCTGTAGTCTTTCTAGAAGGTCGGCAAGTGGGCAAGTGGTCAAGTGGCGAGGCAAGTGGTGGACTAAACTGCAGTGCAATCGCAGTACGACGATGGTAGGATAGCAGTGAGTCCACAGACAGTCAGCGGTAAGGTCCAGTCAGTCCCAGTCCGGTCCAGCAAGTACCACAGGGGACTGTGAGCACCATGGGCCGATGGCAAAGGGCAGACCAACGAGTTTCCGAAGTATAAATCAAGAGGCAGCGCCCAGCCTTTCATTGATTCCTGCGTGAGCCATGCGGAAGCGCTGCCACAAGCGACTTGTGCAAGGAGGTCTGCAGATGAGCCCGGAGGACGCAGTGGGCGAGAGAGGAGGAGTTAGCATAGCGATAGGGTAGAGTCAGCCATAGCTGCCATAGCTGTAGTTAGAGTGAAGTGTGTGTGTATGTGCGAGTGTTCAGAGTTACGCGTGTGGGATATCCAGGGTGATCCAGTGTATGTGAACAGTGAGTTGTTTGGGCGCTGAGTCGCCATAGCCAGTTGAGAGTGAACTCGTATCTGGAAGCCATAACTCTGAGTTTTGATTGGGCGCATGTCGCCAGTTTGCTGCGTTGCTGTTTACATGCATGAAAAGTGTGAATGAGTACGAGTCTGATTGCACTAGCCCTTGTCTAGTCAGCAGTCCCAGTCACAGCCCCAGTCCACCTTGTCTAGTCAGCAAGTACCAGGTGGGGCTGCACACTCTTTGGGCCCGGGACAGGAGGCAGGCCAAGACCACCGACGAAACAGTATACATAAAGAGGCAGCGCAAAACCATTCATTCATTTGCCTGCGAGACATGCTGAAGTGCTGCCTATGCGACTTGTGCGTTGGAGGTCTGCAGGTGCCCGACGAAGAAGAGAGCGAGCGGCCATCACCGCTAGTGGAGGAGGAAGACGAACGCCCCCAAGGCCGCCCAGTTGCTGACATCAACAGATAGAGCGTAGTGTGTCTGTGTGCGTGAACATTCAGGGTAGATCCTATGCGTGTGTGAATGAGCGTGAGTAGTGTGAATGTGTCTGATGGTGGAGACTGTTCGAGTGGGAATTTCAGACAGGCGTTTGGACGCCATAGCCGCAAGTTGTGACAGTTGACTTAACCTGAGTTCCTGGCCAAGGGCCATATATCTGAGTTTTCTGTGTGGGCGCTGTGGGCCATCTCAAGCAGTTGCTGATTCTGCGTTGATCAAGTTGTGTTGCCATCGACATCTACATGTATGCATTTTGCGAGTGAAATCGAAACAAGTCTGATTGCAACCAAAATACAAAGGTTTTGTTTTTCCAAAAAACAAAATAAAGGAAAACGCAAGAGCAGCAATGTTCAGCAATACATACCTCCAGGTCTGAGAACTTGTACTCGCGGAAATGGAACTTATGTTTCATCAGTTCTTGCTCGAGGCTTCTGACTGTGTCAGCTAATATCCTATTCTGCTGAGTCTGCAATTGCACAGGCCAATGCAACATATGTGAGTCAGCCTTTTATGTTGGTAACACACGCAATGGCTAACCCAATTAGAGAGACATCATAACCTGTGTTGGGGACAGCCCAACGGGATTCAATCCCAGGCTCCGGGTGTCAAGTTTTGTTGGTCTTGAGTAGAGGTCACTGGAGAGTTCTGAACCCAGGCAATAGAGCTGAGGTTCTTAAGGGGGTAGCTTATACCATTCAGATGGTCTCTTTTAGTCCAGATTGGTCTTTTCACACTGGTAGGAATTGGCTGCTACTTAGGGAATCAGGTGGATCAAAGGAAGAGAAGGGACGTCTACCTTTCATCCTTTTGCACTTCTGTTTTTCTTTCCAACAGGAAAGCATTTCTGAGCATCCACCATTGGAGTTGAGAAATGGGCGCAGCCATAGCAAAGAGGATATCTAAGACTACTCAATCAGTTGTAGCTCTCTTCATTGCATGTTGAAGAGCATGGCTGGGTGCCAAAGTAGGCAAGGTTTATTTTGGGGAAGCTTTGCTCGCGTACTTTGAGGTGAAGAAGCAATTCCAATCAACTCAGATTGTACTTCAAATTTCAATAAAGTGTATGACTGAGTTCAACAGGGTGTACTAGCGTGAAAATACTGAAGTCCTGCCGATCCTGTCAGACATTACATGCAGAGAGAGGGTTCAGCCTCCGGATTAGTTGGTGAAAATCCCCAACCAGTCTGTGACAGCTCCCCGATTCTTGTCCTTCTCTCCCTTTCTGCCCATTGTGTATTGGGCATGCCACCACCTTTTCTTTATTCCACAAGCTTAAGAACCAATTCAAACGCACTCAGAATTCCATAAATTACCAGACAACTCTTCACCTGACGCTCTGCAGAATAGCATTGTGCAATCAGACTCGTTCTCATTCACACTTTTCATGCATGTAAACAGCAGCGCAGCAAACTGGCGACATGCGGCCACTCAAAACTCAGAGATATGGCTTCCAGATACGAGTTCACTTTCAATTGGCTATGGCGACTCAGCGCCCAAACAACTCACTGTCCACATACACCGGATCACCCTGGATATYCCACACGCGTAACTCTGAACACTCGCACATACACACACACACTTCACACTAACTACARCTATSGCAGCTATGGCTGCCTCTACCCTATCGCTATACTAAGCTCCTTCTCTCTCGCCCACTGGGTCCTCCGGGCTCACTGCAGACCTCCTTGCACAAGTCGCTGTGGCAGCGCTTCCGCATGGCTCATGCAGGAATGAATGAAAGGCTGGGCGCTGCCTCTTGATTTATACTTCGGGAACTCGTTGGTCTGCCCTTTGCCATCGACCCATGGTGCTCACAGTCCCCCGTGGTACTTGCTGGACCGGACTGGGACTGACTGGACCTTACCGCTGACTGACTGTGGACTCACTGCTATCCTACCGARGTCGTACTGCGATTGCACTGCAGTTTAGTCCACCACTTGCCTCGCCACTTGACCACTTGCCCACTTGCCGACCTTCTAGAAGGGCTACAGCTAAGCTTCTGGAACTCACTAAGACTTCTACTCTATAGATCTACAGATCGAACCCCTGCTACCTATGGACCTATAACAGACCTACCAACTATCTACGAATACACAGGTCACGGGTTCGACTCTCGGGGTCTACACAGATACTGTACATGGTGAGGGTGAGGTCTAGGGATCGAGCCCTGGGTACTGCATCTGCTACTGCAAAAAGGTGAAAACCATTTCACTCCCGCCGTCCTAAATTCGAGGTCCTCTGAGAACATCTAGTCCAAGGCGGGACCTTTACCCTTCCTGTCATGCTCATAAGCTCTGACTATGTCGGGAGCTGTTTCTAGAAGTTCTGTTCTTGTGAACCGGCGGTCGTCTTCCGGTTCCTGATAGGCAAACCGGACTTTGTATTGCTTCTGGGGACGACCTCTACCTCCTGTTCTAAATACATCCTCATCTACAATGCCTTCTATGTCATAGCTCCCATCCATATCCGGGGGGATCATGGACCTTCTTGAAGGGAACTGTTGGCTTGTGACACACGGCAACAGCTTTGAAGCATGGAACACCGGGTAGGTGTGGAGGTGTGCTGGAATCTCAATACTGTAGGACGGTCCATCCTCTCCGCCCTTGACTTCTAGAAATGGCCACGGTCCTCTATACACAGGCAGTAACTTCTGCGAGATGTTCTCCTCAGGTGCAAACTCTTTAGCCTTGACCCAGACTAAGTCGCCTACTTGAAACTGCAACGGGCGACGGTGCTTATTACCCTGTTCTATCATTCTATGCTGGGCCTTCCTAAGGTTCTCTACAACGGTTGCTAGTTCTTTCTCGTGCTGTATTGCGAACTCCCTGGTACCGGGCGGTAGCCTGTGAATCTGATCTCGGTTCAGCCCTTCAAATGGTCTGCGCGGCCTAAAGGACTTGTGCAGCTCATTGGGAGTTCGACAGGTGGACAGATGCACGCTGTTGTTGTATGCGCTAGCTACCTTGGGCAACATCTCATCCCAGTTGATCTGATCAGGTCTAATGTACATGCGCATAACTTGCTGTAGGATCTTATTCATCTGTTCAGTCTGACCGTTAGTCTCTGGATGGCGGCCAGACAGCATTAACAACTTAGATCCGTAGACTCTCATGAGTTCTTGCCAGTTATGGCTGGTGAAACGACTATCTCTATCGCTAACTATTGACAATGGGATTCCATTCTCACTAACCCAAAAGTCAAAGAACTTATGTATTACTAAATCTGTGCGTGCCTCTGCAGGCAAAGGAACAAAAACTGCGTACTTGCTAAATCGGTCAATTACGACCATGACTTGGCTCTTACCGTGTCTGCTCTTCACTTGGGTGTCCATGAAGTCTGTGGACACTGAGTCTCCCGGCTGATCCGGAATAGGCAAGGGTCTGAGAAGACCAAGGGGTGCGCGCATAGTGGTCTTATTACGCTGGCATACTTTGCAACTGCGGACATACTCTATGCAGTCATTCTTCATTCCTGGCCAGGTGTACGCATGCATCAGGTTGGCTAAAGTCTTTTGCCAACCGAAATGTCCCTCCGTATCGTGGCATTCCCTTAGGATCAGACTACGAATCTCTTCGCTGTTGGGAACGCACAGGCGGTCAAATACGTTAGTCTTCTCAAACAGCAACCCGTCTGTAGTGCGGTAATCTGGCTCAGTCTCTGGGGCCTCTCTGACTCTCTTTAGGAGGTCGCTATAGATAGGGTCCTGCGCATACGCTTGCTTCACTTCTCCTGCACGTCTCTCCCTATATCCAGATAGTGTACTATGGCTCCAAAGTAGTCTGATCTCCTACGCAGAGCGTTCGCAACTACGTTGTACTTGCCCTTCACTGGCCTGAGCTCAAAGTCGTATTGGTCTATCTCCGTGGCCCACCTAGTCAACTTAGGTGTCATCTTGGCCTGAGTCTTTAACCATCTGAGTGTTTCATGGTCAGAATACACTTTGAAGTGCCTCTCAAGCAGGTAATGCTTCCAGTGCTCTAAAGCCTGCCTGAGAGCATAGATTTCTCTCTCGTACGTCGAGGTGGCGACCTTCTCTGAGGGCATCCTCGCGGACATGAACTCTACGGGTCTATAGCCATTGCCGTCGTCTTGCTACAACAGGACGCCTATCCCATACTGACTCGCGTCCGTGGTGACGACAAAAGGCAAAGACGGATCAGCTACTTTGAGGACAAGGTACTCTATCAATGCGCGCTTCAGTCTCTTTAGCGTAGACGTACAGTCTTTGTCCCATTACCAGATTGCCTCTTTCTTAAGCAACCTGCGCAGGGGAGCGGCGATAGTGGAGAAGTTCCTAACGAACTTTCTATAGTATAGTTAGCTAGGCCTAGGAACGACCGCAACTCTGTCAATGTGCGGGGCGTCGACCAGTCTCAAATTGCCGCTATCTTGCTGTCCCCTGGCTTAATGCCATCTCCGTCTAATACGTGGCCCAAGTACAAGACTTGTGTTTTGGCCCACTCACACTTCTTTGGATTGATCTTGAAGTTAGCCTCTCTCAGCTTCTCCAAGACCTGCCTCAGATGACCCTGGTGCTCCTGGAGGGTCTTACTAAAAACTAGGATATCATCTAAATAAACTACTACGAACTTATCTAACCATGGCCTAAACAGGTCATTCATACAACGCTGAAAAGTGGCTGGCGCGTTGGTTAGTCCAAAGGGCATCACTATAAACTCATAGTGCCCATAGCGAGTCCGGAATGCAGTCTTGTACTGGTCATCAGGATGGACTTCTATTTGATGATAACCGGACTTCAGGTCTATCTTCGAGAAATACTTACAACCAAGATCATCTATCCTGGGTGGCTCAGCATTCTTCATAGTAATCACGTTCAGACCCCTATAGTCTATACACATACGAAGCTCTCCTTCCCTTTTGGGGACAAATAAAACTGGTGCTCCGAACGGAGACGAACTGGGCCTGATCCAACCTTTCTCGAGGAGCTCATCTAACAACTTGCGCAACTCCTCTAACTCTCTAGGGGACATCTTGTAGACAGCTCCCTTAGGAGTTCTACTGCCAGGCTCTATCTCTATCCTGTGTTGGATGGGTCGCGACACTACTCCTGTCGGCGACTCAGTTAAGTCTTTGAACTCCTCCAGCAGCTTGGCTATGGTTGGATCTGTGGAAGTCACCTCTTCCTTAGCCTCAATGACAGGTCTAACATAAACTACAAAGACCTGTTCCTCTAATCCCTCCTTCTTCACTAACCGCGCGAACGCGGGAGCACTGAGACAGCAATGTGCCAAGGTGTTGTCTGCACCTGACACAGGCAGGCAATCTTTACCTCACGTGATGGACTAGGGAGCCTACACTCATGCTCTCTTAACTGAAGTGTGGCCCCTGCTGCCTCTCCCCAATCCATTCCTAACACCATGTCAAAAGGAAGGTCATCCTGAACGAGGAGAGTCAGGGAATGGAGAACTTTCTCCACCTTCCCATCCTTCTCTACGCGAAAACATG